AAAAAAAAATGTGTGTGTGTATTTATGTACGCACGTAAGAAGTTACACTTCTTTATAGTAACAATATTAAAATATTTCAAAAAAATCTTTAGCAGGGCAAGCTGGACCAAGGACGAAAGGCGGTCACGAGCAGAGTTGAACGATACTAACCTTCAGTCAATCGGACCAGCCACACCTGAGATAATCACGATTTAAATAAATTTAAACAGCCCCGCAATGGAACAATAGGACCAATAATATGGGAAGTTGGGTCGAAGGCGGGAATGATCTGTCCCGTTCTGCATATTTCTAGACAAAGCATTTTGTATCTGTTCCTACGGAACGCAAAGCAAAGGTTCGCTGAAGCGAAGGGATAGCTCAGTGGTAGAGCATTCGACTGTTTATCGAGTGCTCCCCGATTCAAACCCAGGAGTTTTCTTCTTCAGGGAAATGAAGAGAATATTTTTTGAGGATTTTGAAGGCAGGAATGATCTGTCCCATTCTGTATATTTATAGACAAAGTATTTCGGTATCCGTACCTATGGAACGCAAAGCAAAGGCACTCTGCCACGGGGTGTATAGCTCAGTGGAAGAGCATTCGACTGCAGATCGAGAGGTCTCCGGTTTAAGCCCTTGTGTCCCCTTCTTCAGGGAAGTGAAGAGAAATATTTTTCTGAGAATTTCGAAGGCGGGAATGATTTGTCCCGTTCTGTATATTTCTAGACAAAAGATTTTCGCATCCGTGACGGTGTGCGTCACATCCATGACGGTTTTGCGTCACACTGTGATGGGGTGCGCGCGCATTGTAAAAATTTATCCTCATCCTATTTCTCTAATGCCCCAAAAGAAGTATTACTTCAAAAATCAATTTTTAATAAAAATTTCTTGTGTGCAATATCTTTTTTGACAGTCGTATGGCTGGCGAATCACCGTGAATTTATTGATATAGATCATGGCTCATTATAAATTTATTGTTTTGTATCTCTAGCGTTAACGGTTGAAGACCCCTTCTCTAAAACGATATAAACTTTTATTCACAGTTTATATGTACGAGTAAAAGGCTGGAAGCTGTCTATAGAAAAAAAAGGAATATTTATAATAATTTTTTTTGCCATACTTAATGATGACGGAGAATGTTGTTCCTGTTGTGGAAACAAGTAAAATTGCAGATTAACCATTAAGTATTCTTTTTATTTCATTACATTATTTACTTGAGATTCATTACTTTATTTCAAACATTAAGGTATATAAACATGTTAGATACAATAATTGGAAGCAATATTTTAAATCTTAACGATGGAGAAAAACGGCTCATTGTGCATTTCAGCCCGTCTAAAATTATTTTGTGCAAATAGATATAAATTTTCTAAAAAGCATTCTCATTTTCTCTTGAACTCCCCTAAGGGAATGAATTTTCATTTGAGTTCCTTGATAATGATTAAATATCTTCAAAGTGACTTTATTTGTTGCGTACCTGTGTAAAAATATTCGATCGATGTAAAGAAGATTTCCGTTTTGCGAAACACATTTAGATGAAATGCTGAACAAACAGCGCCAAGATGCATCGCTTGCAACTTTCATTCTAAAATGAAGGATTTTAGTTGATGTATTTGCTCTTTACAAAGCGCAATTTAAAAATTCATGTTACTTAAGTCTCAAAGAAAGTCAATTATACCTAGCCCAAAGCCCAAAACAGTTCATATACTCACATATCATGTACGGAAATTATTCAACTCGCACTGAAGTCTGTTTGGCCGATGTGTTTCTGTAATTAAAAGTTTGACGATGTGTTTGCCAGAAATGACTGTTGTCCAGATGTATGTATCTAATATATATACTTATATATTTTGTTCAAAAACTTATTTGAAACATATATGTTTATGTTGTTACGGGTCTTAACGCAACTTTCTCCAACTAATCCTCTTGGGGAATCTTTGGGCTAGGATTCGCGTTTATTTCACAGCCATCCCTCTGAAGATAAACCCTGAGATGCAAATTAGTTAGTGTATATAAAGTTCGAGTTTAATAATCGGAGGTGAGAAGGAACATAGCATCCGAATGCAGTGTTACTATGGTAAGAATTAGAATTACGCATCTTGATTAAAGGACGGATTTTGGCTACTAGACTAAATTAGTGAATCCAGAATTAATAGGATAGGATTGATTAAAGCTAAACTAATTTGATTTCGTGCACTTATTCACGTAAGGTAGTTGCTTTCTTTATATCACTCCTAGGGCTTCCTTTTATTGATTACTTGTTCTGGAATATTATAATTAATAATAATAAATTAGATTTATCATGGAGAGTCTTGGTCATTCATCGTTCCCTCCCACATCTTTACGTAGACCTGATGATGAGGAAGTGACTTCAGAGGTAAGACCATTACGATGTACACACGTGTTGTTTGAAAGTGAGCAAATTATTTTTGGTAGAAAAAAACTTTTAGAGTAGATATTGATAGTTCTAAATTGTAGGATTAATTTTTATAAAACTAATGATACTACATTCGTTCACTCTATTTGTCAAACATTGATCTTCTATCAATAATGCATTTGGGAAACAAAGGAGTATAACTACTCAAAGTTTAATTGCTTAAAACTTTTATAAATATTAGTGCTCATTAAATAAAAGTTTAACATGATGTCTATCAAAATGAGTTCTTTTCTTTAAATTGTATAAAGAGACATTTTTCTTAACTATACAAAATTAATTGGCACAAGTTCCATATTCGATAAAATAGCATCAATCACGTGTTATAATTTCCAAAAAAACTTGTGTATATGATCAAAGTGTGTAGACCAGTGCTTTTAAAACTTTCAAAATTATTGATCATCCAATATTCAATCATAATTTTCATCGAGCACTCCCCTAATTTCAACAACAATATATTGAATTCAATATTACTATACTTTGACGCTAACGGTACGATACGAATTTAACCTCTTAAGTGCCCCCGGCGTTTATAAGCGTCTCACTCAACCAAAGCGTTAACTGTCCCGCACGTATATATACATCTTTCTGAAGTATGATCTTTTCTGTAGACTGCTATCCATAAAATTATGTCGAAGGCTTTTGGAATCCAGCAAAAAGGACCTAGACAGTGTTTGGGAAGGATTTACTTATTTCAGAGGACTTGCTTATTTATCCCCCCCATACATCCAATACGCGAGCCTAAGTGGAAAACGGTGAGGAGCGAATCGTTTAAATTTTAATCAACAGTTAAGGGATTAATTATAAACCATTCAAATTATCAAGATAAGTGTTAATTTTTGTAAATAATTTTAGATACAAGAAGTCCCAGGAATCTTTGGTAATTATTAAACTTGTTCTTAACTTAGTACTGTTGATTTAATTATAAAATACATTGGACAGAGTACTGATACATTATATAAGAGTAAATGTATATTTAATTTTTTATTATGTCAGAATGTAATTTGTTTGTTAACTTTTAGTTAATTAATAATTTTTTTAAAAAATAATCTTTTGTTTTCGACTTTTCAGTAGTCTCGTGCACCCTCCCCCTTGTAGATTTATGACGGCTCCCTAGGAGGCGAGACCCTCAGTTTGAGAAATGCTGGTGTAGAAGTCTATAAAATGAATTAAGGAAAGAAAAAAGAAAATGATTAGGACAAAATGTCGTAAAAAAGAAAGAAAAGATGGAGGAATCCCAAGGTAAAGTCACTCGTATTCATCGTTCACTTCATGGAATAATAAAAATTTTGTGAAAGATTATAATCGATATTATATGAAACCCATACTTATCAAAAAAAAGCGAGCAACTAGGAGAATGGAAATTAAGACAAAATGTTGAATGAAAATTAAAATAACTTGAATGAAAGTAATGGATGATTTTGAATTTGTATCAATGATGTCATCAATACTCTTAAAAATAATGATTGAGTACATAATTCGCAAAAAAATTACCAACGCAGTTCACAGCAAGCAAATAACTTTTTAAAGCATATTACAAGAAGAAAGAAAAGTTAACTGAAATATTTAAAGATGTAAAATGGAATAAAACAGGAAACAGCAAGTATTTGTTCAATTTTAAAGTCTCTAAGACAGCAAACTGCACCAAAAAAATGAAATTTGCTTTCCTTTGTGAGTAATCTTTTTACTTGTGTTACTATAAAATTTACAGTTTAGCTTTATTTATTCAGTTCATCCGTGCGGTAATATTTCAAAAGAAAAAAATTAAATTGGAGATCGACTTTCCCACTTGGTTTACTAATTATAGTAGTATGGTATTTATATAAAAAAGTGGTAAGGGTTTCATTCAAGAGGATGAAAGAATTACTATACATTCAGATGGATACCGATTCTAGAATACTTTGTTTTCATACATTTTGTATAGATCTATGTATATAAAAATGGATGTTTGTATATATGAAATGGCATCACTCCAACACCGTTCAACCTATCACTATGAAAATTGGCCTGTATGCGTTATTTTTTATGCAGAAGGTTTTTGTGCTATCCTTTTAGTTGCAGCTTGCCACCAGGTGGCAGTACAACATATAAACTTCTGCACCGTTCAATCAATCACCAATAGGGTCGCCAAAAATAATACACATATTTATGTTTTCATTGAATCACTATTATAATTTAAGGAACGGCATTGCTTGTGTATATTACAATTTTAACATGAAATAAATTGAACAGAAAGTAATATTAATGTATTACACATGCAGATATAAATTTTTTACACTATTTTAAGCGTCCATTACACAAAATTTTTTACGTGTTACTTTTGCTGAGCAGAGAGGAACTTAGGTAGGTTTTTTCAAAAATCAACCCACAAGAGTTAAGGGGCGTTATAAATAAATAAAAAAATCTTTTTTATTAGCTATTAAATCTACAAACTTAAAATTTAACAGATATTGTTTTTTCTTTGTTCGACTGAGATATGCAAAAAGTTTTTTTTTGTTGTTGTTGTTTAATTTGCAATTCACGTAAAATTAACTCATTAAAAACGTCTTTATTCATCAATCTGTGTTGTTTAATTTTTCAATTCACCCTTGCAAAGAACGGGTATACAAGCTAGTATCATGTATGACTTCATAATCAAATAAATTTAATTAATATTGAAATGTACGTTACGCTAATTTTGACAATTTTTGAATTAAAATATAATGGATGAGATAAATTGGGAATAATTTTTTAGAAAATATGCAATACTTTAATAAATTTATTGAATATTAATGAAGTGACATAAAATTTTCTTCTTAAATCAATTCTTACACAGGTCAACAAAGAAAAATTTTATTTTAGTTATTTTTTATTAAATAGTTACAATTAATATGAGAGAGAGAGAGAGAGAAGAGAGAGAGAGAGAATATGTATATACATTTGACAGAATCACAATATTAAGTGACAAAATAGAAAGCGACTTTCCTTTTTCCTTTCTATATATAGGGTATTGAACTAATTTTTGTTAGTTA